CGGGTAGCTGGGGCGGCCAGGTTCCCAACAGCACCGTCTGGAGCCTGGAAGGGTTAAAGTAACGGAGAGCTACTGGAAGTGCCCCGCTGCTGAGGATACACCATCTGCGGGGGGCTGCAACCATTCCTCGGGACCTGCGCTAGCCCTCACCTAAAAAAAAAAATAATAATAAAAAAAAAAAATCAGAGCATGCCCTCTCCCTGCTTCTCCTAGCCTTGCCCTCGCTCCGACCAGTCATTACCAAGCTCAAGGAAAAACGCGTACCGAGAGAAAATCCAGAGAGATCTGTATTTTAGAAGCATGATGGTGTCATCTGCAGCACCGACACCACTGTCGGTGCTTGGGCTGAGACCGGCACGAACTCATTGCCTTTTTCTGGAGCGTTATGGGATGGCTCTATCCCCGTCTGTGGCTGTCAGGGAAATCAGTCGTGCTCTTGTTTCCTCTGCAGCAAGAGTGAAGCAACAGCCAGGAGCTCAAGAACGGTTCCCGCACCGCAAAGACCCACTTGCAAGAATGACGCGCTATTACCAGTAGTCTAACTACCTACCAGTAGTAGTTCCCAGCAAAAACTGGGAACAGCACACACCGTCCTCTGCATCAGAAGAGCTTCCCTCTCGCTTGACGAAGACGTTAAAGCCTCTCTGACAAGAACCAGCTGGTTACACAGCACCAGTGTCCACGGATGGCCAAGACCGGGACAACTGGGGAGTTTGGATTCGTGTCCTAAGGCAGATGGCAGCACACCCTGGAGAGCGCTGACAAGCTTCACCGAAATACCTGGAAATTCCCCCATTCGAGGGGTTCTTCAAACGCCTCTGGGTCGGCTTCACTTGCCTGAGCTCCGTCCAAGTGCATCTGCAAGCTGATACTGCAGAGAGCCGACTGCATGCGCTCCTGTGCTCTCCCTGGGAGCCCCCACAGCCCTGAGATGACATAATTCAAGCTCCAAAGCAGCTTTTCCAGCTACAAAAGCAGACACCCACCTCTTCGGTCAGACTTGCTCACGTTCCTCCACCGCTGACAAGAACCACTTAAGCTTAAGCCTGAGCCCCCCCCCTACCTGCTGCTCACGCAGGTCGCAGCCTGCTTTTCCATGCCTTGTGCAGCAATTTAACGGTGCTCCGTTAGCTATAATCACTATTTCTGCCCCTGGGAGTGGAAAGGGTCAGACTTCAGGAAGGGAAAGGTGTTTACTGCCTGCTTACAGCACATCCACCACCAGCAGCCGGCTCTGGGCAGCGGCAAGGGCTGGAGTCAGAGCTCTCCTCGTGCCATCTGGGAGAGACCCTTGCCCAAAGCTCGAACTATGACCTCAGCTTGCAGCCCCGGTCATCGCAGCGTGAATCTTCGTGCCACTAAGCCGAAAACAAGAGCGTGACCCAGCACCAGCATCAGCTCCACACTTTATGGAGCTACTTTCAGGATATAGCCATGCTGCAGGGGGGAACCCATACAAAAAGCCACGTTCAAACCACCGTGGAGCAGTTTCTTGAAAAGAGAAGCTGAAGCTTGCTTGTATTTTCACTTTAAAGCCACCCAAACGCTCTTGCTTCTTCTCACTCTGCTACTCACAGAAAGCATTTGCACCAAACTCCCCAGGGAGATTCCTCAGTCTTCCGCCTCCCGTTTAATGCCCACGGGGGAAGGAAAAGTTACCCACTCAAACTGCATCTCAGCTGCTACAGGCATCGCCCCAGCCCCCAGAGTTTGAAAATCACAGCGCACAGCCGATGCGTGGGCTTCACGCTTCCTGCACAGGCACGCTGGAGCCGTCAGCTGGAATTTCAAAGGCAACCCAACCAACAACAGCTTTGGCTACTGCTGAAAACAGAAGAGTTTAAGCCCTTGGCGTTATCCCCCAAAGCCTTTTGTAAATTTGCTCTTTTACAGGAAGGCCTGCTAGATTACGTAATCCTATGTGCTAAAGGTACACACGAGCTGATGTCAAGGGCTATAATTAGTTACAAAAAACACACAGCTCATTCCATTTCCTGTAAAAGCCAGCTTTCATTTTGCTTTTGAAGCAGCTCTCGCAGCCGGCCACACAATTAAGCGCTACCTTGAACACACAAGCTCAGCAGTGTAGGTAAAAGTCACAGCGTACCATCCAATATCCAGTTCCAAGTGCCACCGCCTTAAAACATTAACCCGTACGTGGACTCGTTAACCCTGGAGTTCACCCGTACCACGTTTCGTTACGCTGCGGAGTCACTGTTCTGCTGGATATTTAGGGTCTCTCAAAGGTAACAAAGCACATAAAGGAAAGCACACCAGTTCCGATGGTTTCTTAAGCAGCCTTTGAAGAGCACAAAACCGGCCTCCAACACGGATGAGGAGTTTCAGACCTCCGACAGCGACTCACCCGCTGCTTAGGTGGGACGTGCAACGAGCGTCACTAGCTCTGTGTTTCCGAGCTCTACCTTAGCCGGCTCTAAGCTCAGCTCTGCCAGTGCTCGCAGGCTCTGTCGTGCTAGCAAAGTGACCGAAAGAAACACAGAAAAGTCAAGGGAGGAAGGACGTGGATGCTCCCAAATCTGAGCTTTAAACCAGCAGTAAACCAGGACTCTGCGTGGAAACTACCGGCAACGGTGGATGCAATGCCAGCTCTAGAGCAGCGCAGGTCAAATTAAGGATTTATGGCTGCTGCTGTTAATACTTACCCAACTTCCATCCAAAGGCTTCACCTTTAGGATAATACCTCCCTAAATGTATCTCAGGGCTTCAAGCAACCTCAAACAGCCTCTGCAGACAGCAGCAAGGAGTAGAAGCATGCTCCCTGCCTCCCCCACGCTGCCCACAACTCAAGCCAGCCCAGTCACAGGGACCAAAACTACAGAGCTTCATCTACAAAGCGAAGATTGCTCTGCCTCTCCTACACCAGCATACCTGCCCGGGACCCGCGTTAGTGCTATCAAAAGTAGGAAAATCACATGTAGGAGGGAAAAAAAAACCGCAACAAACAAACCCGGCCAATCTGGAGTGATCTTGGCATCCTCAGCCTTCAGTGCCAGTTCGTTAATCCCTGTTGGGAACTGGAGCTTGATCCCCACACTGGACGCGCCACACTCGTCCGACTGCCCAAGCTGCAGCATTTATCGTTCTGGGAGCTTGCTGACTTGTTCTTTGAACTACTTTCTCCCTGCAAATGCCTGCCTCAAATCACTACAGTCAGCATGTGTTGGACAGTCAGTTATACCCCTCAGTACGTAGTCAGGCAACCAGCAGCCCTTTTCCTGCAATGCCTCCTTCACTCCCGTAAGGCAGACCCCAGGCCTGGGCTGCCCGTTTTCTCCTACATCCCCACATCCAGGAAAGTACCTACAGGAGAGACCCGAGCGTTGTACGGCACCGGAGCTGGGACCGTGGGGAAGCCATCTGAGCTCGGGTCAACCTCGCTGATGGCACATCACAGCCACCGCTGACCAACCGTCCGGTGCAGGGAGTCAGAGCCAACCTTTCCACCCTCACATTTATGGATCCTTCTCAAAATTGACAGTGGTTTAAGACGGAGCCCAAGGATACATCTGCAGGAAATTTACCCCTTTTGCTACCTCCAGGATTTGGGGTTGAGAGGTCCACGTTACAGCACCCAAGACCGCTACGTTCACAACAACAAAAAACACCCCTCTCCGACTTGGCATCTTGTGCTTTCAACTCAGCCGCGCCAAGACTTAACCTAGGAAGCAGGAAGGCAGCCAGGATCCTTGAGACAGTACCTGGCACGCGCTGAGAGTCCAAATAGTAAGAGCTTTTCCTACTGTCAGTGATCCACCTCCAAAAGGAGATCGGTGTCGAACAGATACAACCTTGGAGCACACGCTCAGCACTTCATATATTGGTTTCAAGAGCACGGCAGTGAGAAAGAACAGGAGCTGGGGACCTGCAGAAGGCAATAGTACAGTATCCCCAACACCCACAGGGCCCAGCCTCACATCAGGGCATCTAATAGTCAAAAGCAGCATTTTCAAGAGGAATACGGCTCCAGACAGCACAGCCAACCCACTCTCCTGCCTGAACACTCTACAAGCAGCTTTCCTCCTCCCACCAAAACCTGTTACTGCCAAGAAAGCCTGGAGCTTCAGTAACAATTTCCATGCTGATGTCAGCTTTCGAAGTCTAGCTGGAGATTCCCTCGGTGCGGTACTAGCGTGGTATCGAGCACAATCGACCCTGCCACTAACGGACACGAAGATGAACTGGGTCTTCTTGACCACCGCCTGGCGAGGCCCCTTTCTGCGCGGCCTCAGCAAAGCGACAAAGCTCATCACACCCAAGAGATGTGACCAAGAACACTTTCCCCACGACAGCTGTATCTGCTCTTGACCACGATGGTCAGAAAAAGCTCAGAAGAGCAGCAGCGGGCACTTTCTCTACAGAGAAGATGCCAAAAGTTACCTGAGGTGCCTGCGTCTGCATCGGCTGTTCCTCGAGCTGGGGCTGGACAGTCCCCATCGCAGCCTGGCTAAGCGTGGTCACGCGGCTGGGCTGCCCACGCAGCGTCACAGTAATGGTCGTTGGGGCCTTCAAGCCTAGAAAACACGCGAGCGAGACGTCCCTGAGACACGGGGACTGCGGAGGCCACGTTCACCAACCAGGGGCCGCATCAGAAGCCTCTTTCTATTAGAGGCAGCTGCTCAGAAATTGCTAGCGCACGCAGCTGTCCATAGCTACGGCACAAAGGCAAAATAAGCTTTGGAAACGCTGGTCTCGGGGTGATGGGGCGCTCCAAGCACCTGCCTCGCACGCCTGTCCCCCTTCTCCCTCACCTGCTGCCTGGTTGGAGATCTGAGCCAAGCCAGGGAGACTGCTGGCCAGCTTTGCCAGTCCCCCATTTGTCAGCAGCTGGTGAATGGCCGTGGGCTTCCCACTCGCTGAGGCTCCCAGAGACAAAGAGGTGGCAACCGGGATGGTGCGGACAATTGTGCCGGTGCCCGTGGTTATGGCACTCAGGTTCTGGATAGCTGCGGGCGTCTTCACAGCTGCGGTCTGGAAGGAGAAGCAGAAGCACTGAGTACCTGGAAGGTAAAGGGGATGCCGGGATAGCACGGCCTCTCCCTCACGCAGAAGCTAGAGGTCTTTAGAGGTCAGAGTTTCCACACTTCATTCTGGTGGCCACAGCCAGGTCTAAAGGCAAGTAAACTTGTCCCTTCCAGTCTGCACATACTCATTTCAACCTGAAAGCATGACTGGGAGAAACTGTGGCTCCACTTCTAATGAAGCCACCTGTTCTGAAAGAGGTTGCCTCAAACTGCAGGGATGGGGAGCTCGCCCGAGAGGTCACAGGCATGCGTTTTCCCAGAAGAACAAGAAGGAGAAAGACCGCTGATCCCCCCCGTCCACTCTCCAACTCCTCAGCATTCTCTAGGTGGCCGCCTAGAAACAACTTCCCACCGCTCTGTTTCCTAGATCTCAGGCCATGTACGGGAACCCTTAGCCCCCGGCACACCGCCAAGGCTTGGATGCATCATTTCAGCTGCAGTTCACACCTACCATCCCTCACCTCTTCTGGTTCTGGAACAAACATGGCCTATCTAAGTTCCCTCTGCCTCCTACCGCTTTATCCTCCGTACAGCTTCCCTCCAGAGAGGGATCTCTGATGTTTGCAGGCTGCGTACCTGCACAGGTGGCCCGGCAGCAGCCACGCTGGCAGGAAGGGCTGATGACTTGGTCCCGATGTCCTGCAGGCTGAAGCTCAGCCCTTGCAGCAGGCTGCTGGCAGATGCCGCTCCTAAAAACGTAAAGAATAAAGAAATCATGCTTGAAGAATTCACTAGCATGCAATTCCAGGTCTGTCATATGGCGGGTGTCTGCAAAACTGTTCTTTAAAGAGCAGCGTCCCAAGCAGCCCGCCTCGAGGTCGGCGGGGATCCTACTAGCCGCTCTACACACGCAGTCCAACGCATTTCATTGCTGCAGCTACGAACGAGGTTAGCTGTGAAACCCGGGAGGCAAGAGGAGGTCGGGTTTGGTATCTCAAGGCATCAATTCTTACCAATGACACAATTAACAGGTCACCTACTGCGCCTTCAGCCTGGCTCTATAGCATCCCACTGGATCTCTGCAGGCTCTGCAATAGCACAGCACTACAAAAGCTGCCTCAGCCAAACCCAAAGCAACCAGGGAATGCAAGAAAGGGGATCCACCGAATGGTTTTGAACCTGGTTTACCTTTTGTATTCACAAGAGAGACATGGAGAGAGGCAGGTACCTTGGAGGGTACTGGCTGGCTGGGCCTGCATGCAGTGGGCGCTGCTGGCCACCAGCCTGCTCTGCAGGGCGTGGAACGCGCTGGGCGCCGTGCTGCTGGGGATCACAGCAGACGGAGCAGGACTCGCGGAGGAGGTTTCTGCTGCCGAACTCAGCCTACAAAGCGAGCAGAAGAGAAAGACTCCAGTTAACGATAAACTGCACAGGGCAAGGCGATGATGGCTTCGACAGCGAGCTGTCACTGGCCTAACGCAACCCAGCGGGACTCCTGGAAGCGTAAGGCAGGGAGTTGACGAGCTACAAAAACCCAAGGCGAGAGAAGCTTCCCTGTGTCCACTGCGGCAGCTAGAACAAGGAGCACCTAAGGCAAAATCCATGTATTTCCAAATTGGAAGTGAGCTTGTTACATGTGTGTGCCTACCTAGGTGCTGCAAGGGCTCTGTCATAGAATCATTAAGGTTGGAAAAGACCTCTAAGATCATCGAGTCCAACCGTCACCCTACACAAAAGCAATCTACCTTGCAGTGACACATTTCCCATTTAAAACCTACTTTCTATTTGAGAACAGCTCTTCTTCCTCTCCCCTCCCCGATCAGTCAGAGTCTGGTTCTCCAAAGCTTGGTTTGAATTAAAAGGAAAAAAGTGATGTGAGAGGTCAACGTCGGATTCATTCCCCAAACGAAATCCCTACGGCCAGTTAATCAACTTCATGAACCAATACTGAGGCTTCTTTCCCCTCTCTTCGGAAAAAAATGCTTGACTGTCAGAGGGAACAAAGGGAAGGACTGAAGACAACACTGAATTTCTGGCAAAGACACCACAGTCATTCAAAAGACAGAGATAAGCAAACTTGGATTTGGGAAACCATATAGAAATACAGCCCAACAGCCACAATACCTTCTACTTCTGCCCATTTCCGCCATTCTCAGACTCGACTGCCGGCTGACAAATAGTTTTCAGGAGCCTGAGAGTCTCCTGCACTTCAGAAAATTCCAGTCATAAGCAAGATACCAGAGAGCTCCACAAGCAGAAATTGCCCTGTTGCCGTGCTTCCCATCAGCAGCCTGTCGAAAAGACCCACAGCTTATAAAAAACAAAGTCGCACTCACTTGGGGGTGGTGAGAAGTCCTGACAGCTCCTTTGCGCCCGACACAGACTGGCCAACCGCCATGGGGACCGGCTTTCCAGCGACAACTGCAAAAGAAAGAGAAGAAACCTCACTCTCTCTCCTCCACGAGCCTTTAGGGATTCCCCCTTTCTCACACAGCTACCCGCAGACACAGCGCTGCAGGCCACGGGCTCATCCTGCTCACAAAGCACCTTCTCAAGGAAACCTCCGCCGCAGCCATAAACACACGCTCCAGCCACCGCGCTACGGGAGATCGGGTGTATCAAACAGAGCAGAGCTGAGAATAAAAACCGGAAAGCTGCCGTTGTGGAAGTGTTACGACAGACGGGATGGAAGGAATCGGTTTCAGAATCTGTAAGCAGTGAAATCTCAGGCCCTCACCACCAAATGCAAATCTCTCTCCTAAACCTTCTCTCCACTAATCCCCTCCTCCTAGTCCATCACGGCACAGGTCTACCGCCTCAACCGACTAATTTGGATCTGGCTGGTCGCTAGCGATCGATTTTGTAAGCATTCTTTAGAGACACTTTACAAAATACACAGGGATGCGACGAGTCACAATATTTGTTTATTGCGCCGTATTGGGATACAACTGCGTTTGTCTTGTGCATTCCTCCTGCTCACACACGGTAAGAGGGAATTCTTGTTTTGGTTCATGTTTACTTCTGCAATTCATTTCCTTTCTGTGAAAAGAAGTAAAGTTTGGAAAATTAAAAAAAAAAAAGATTCCGGAAACCAGAGATTTTCAAAGCTGCCAGAAGATAAACTGTAACCTTAAAAAAGGATGTGTATTTCTTAGTTCATTTTCACAGTTCAAAACAACTGTTAAATTAACCACAAGATGCTTCCAAAGGAGCAGAATTATTTCTCAGCTCTGAAAACCTCTGATTTCCTATCAGAGTGGAGACGCTGACCTTTCAGTCCTGCACTGCATCGAGCGAACGCTAGTGACAAGCGACTGCTTTACGTATCTGGGGCTCTGCGCTCTGACATGAGGAAGTCGTATACGCCAGCACGGGCAGCGACAAGGCAACATCCTTCAGGTACAAGGGTGACAGTAGCCAAAGCTTCTGGCCTCCTTGCAAAGGCTCAAGGGGAAGAAGACCGAGCACATCACCTCTTCTTGGACTGCAGGGACCTCTGCAACGCTCGTCACAGTGGCTTTTCCCAGCCGCAGAGGCAGGAGAGGAGCCGGAGTTTATTTAGACGTGTATCAAGCGCGTATTGTGCCAGACTTCAGGCCCAAAGGGGAACAGCAGAGCGGGGCACTCGGCTGATTCGTAAAGCCTGAACGCACGAAGGTCTTCCAGAGGGAGGAACATCGCCGTCATCCCTAAAGCAGGAGTGTGTTCCAGGTGAGAGCTTCGTGCAGGAGCGGGCAGCAGAACCAGAGACGCGCACGACCTACTTGGAGCAAGGGGTCCACCAGGACCGGCATCCTGCTTCCAGCAGCGGCCTCGATGCCTTAGAGGAAGGTGTAAAATTCGCCTCGCAGCTCACAAGGCTGCGGTCGAGCGTTGCGCTGGAGCACGCAGTCCCAACTGCTACGGAAAACAGAGGCTCCTGCCAAGCTCCTACGTGCTGTCAGCCCCACGCTTCCCCAGCTATCCCCAAGTCACTCACACCTTGAGCCTCCGTCTGTTTTCTGCAGCTAACTCCTCCAGAAGTAACAGAAATCACAGCTCCCCTCCCCTCCCCACGCCGTGCCCCAGAGGAGCGGGTCTGGGCACAGCCGCGACCCCGCTCTCCGGTTAAAAAGCAGCTATGCAATCGCAACTCACTTTCTGCCTGGGTGGTGAGGGGTGCTCCGTTCCCCACGCCAGCAGCATCTCCGTGAGAGACAATGGTCACCTTGATTTTGGCTCGTTTGGAGGATTTGGTGCACTGGGTCGGGCTGGGGGTCTGATGCCTCTTCAGCTGCGTACGCACATCATCTTTCTCAGCCCCTTCCGAGTGCTCTGAGGAGACTGGAACTAGGGGACACAGAAGTAGCTTTTTGAAAACTGACGGCCGATCCCTCGAGGTCAGTGCTGCTCCACTGTGCGCACCAAGGTGTGGAGAAGGGACGCATGCCCATGCACACTTCCACAGCTCCCTCCATGCCAGCTTTACCCATCTCCCATGCACCAGGAACCCACGCTTCTCCTTTTCACCACCTACGCTGACTTCTGCGTGCCCTAAGCTGCTGTCTTAGGGCCAGGACTTAGCTTAAGCTACTCACAGGCTAAGGCAGGACAGCATATAAAGTCTGTCTTGCCTCTGCAGCAAAGAGAAATGGATGCCTACAGCGATAACACATCTCCACGTAAACGCTTTTCATTTCAAAGCGCGGCATAATCAATCCCGGCATCAGGCCCCTCCAAAAACCCTAATTTTCCAGGTGAAGGGACGAGGGCGCAGAGAGTTGCAGAGCTGGTGCCAGTGCTGGGATTAGAGCTCAGCCCGCCTCCTCCTCCTCCTCCGACACACCAGCAAAGGTATTTGTACCCCTGTTGTTCGGCACATCCCTTCCAGTGCTCGTAACCAGCCCTCCAGGAGCTGGGCTGATGCGTACAGGTTTCTTAGAGGCACTAAGCGAAGCAGCCGCGAGCACAAAAGGTGCTGCAGCAAAGCCAAGCCCCCACATACCCTACGCTGCTCGGTACTAGGGGAGAAAAGCCGCGAGCTGAGACTTCCCTTCCGCACCAACAGCTCGTTTTGCTGCCATGTCCTTGACCCGTCGCGTCCGTTTCGTCCTGCCTAAAGCACAAGCTTGCCGGGGTCAGGGCTATCCGAAAAAGCACAGAGGACCCACGACAAGCGCCTCTGGGCAGCCCAGGAACAGAACACGGTCACGAGCTGCCACATCCTGCCCATCCGTTCTCCGCACGTTTCCCACCGCTGGCGTACGATCGTTCGGCCCCAGCCTGAAAGGCTGGTGGACTGGATCGAAACGAGGGCGCAGATCTGCCTCCCGCCGTGGTGTTCGCAGCCTGGCAGCGCTCAGAAAATGCAGCCGCCACTACGCCTGAGCGCTGCCATGATCTGCGGCAAGGGGGAAAGGCCTTCGCTCAAAGCTACGTGTTATGGCCCCCTCCATTGAGAGCTTCTGCAGACCACTGCTGAGCCAGCTAACTCCCTCTTTACAGATGGTCCTGGGCATCTAAGCCGTGTATTCAACAGCCTAGAGACCAAGATATATATATATATATATATAAATAAAAAGGTATGTGCATCTAGATATGGATATATTATATAAAATTGATGTAGATGTGCATGTGTACATGTATGTATACGTTCCCTGCGCATCACACCACCTGCATACCTCTGCACTGTGGGCATAGGACAAGACTGCAGCCAAATCC